TATGAATGCAGATTCCTGGAGTCTGCATCAGTCCTGAGTCAGAAACTTTTCACATGATTCTTACGAACACCCAGGTCTGAAAACCTCAGGTAGAGGTGCAAAGTCTTCTGGGGATATTAATAACACTTATCAGTGAAATATACAGAAAGATCAAAATACCATTTCAGCCAACCCCAGAAAATCTTTTAGTCTAGCATTGAACAGGGTAAAGCTTGACTGTTCCGTCTTTATACCTCATCTAACTATAGGTGGAGATGCAAATAGAAAAACAGCCCAAAGGCCAGCAGCCAAAGAAACAGCATGCTTCTGTATAAATCAACCCTCAGATCATCCCAGGCTGGTGTCTCCGTGCCAATTCCCTGGTCTCAGGTGTTGTAAGTGCTGACTACAGCCCGTTTATCTACTGATAACGAAGGTGAACATAAGTGATCTCCATAAATGGTTCACACGGGGCTCCTGGGTTCTTGAAAAACCACAAGTGATTGGCAAATGCTTCTGTTGCAGACATAAACTCAAACAAACAGCTCATTTCCTTCAAGAAATGGAAGTGGCTGCAAGCTGAATATAGGGAAGGAGGGGAGAAGTCTTCCCCCTTTCCCCATAGCTTCTTCCCCTTTCTGATGTCAGATTTTTCTGACACTAACAAGTCCAGACTAGGGGAAAGAAGCAATTAATAAAAAACTTCAAGAAGTGGACTCTTTTCCCTCAGAAGACAGGGGGCCCTCTCAGAGTTAGTTACAAATCTTTTTTTTTCAGGAAGCCTGGGGCCACAAGGCTTTGTCTTCTAAGGCCTTGCTTTAACAAAGATTGTCAAACTCCATTCAGTGTGCTCTGGTGGAATGCAGAGAGGTGGGTCCTGCCCACTGAAGATTCCATAGGATTCTGATAGACCATGATAACTCTGAAACAGGGGGTAGTGGCTCACACTTAAAAAAAAAAATAACACCTTTATTGACATATATTTCACATACCACACAATCGACTCATTTAAAATGTACAATTCTCTGCTTATGTACAGGAATTTGAAAAAAAAATAAAGTGTACAATGGTTTTTAGTATATTCAGAGTTTTGCAACCATTGAAATGTTTTAGAACCCTCCTAAATATTTGTTTCACTTCTAAAAAGAAATCTCAAACCTGTGAGCAGTCACTCCTCATTTCCTCCAGCCTTCCCCAACCCCCATGCCAGCCACAGGCAACCACTATATCTACTATCTGTCTAGGATTGCCTGTTCTGGACAATTCGTATAAGTGGAATTATACAATATTTGGTTCTTTGTGACTGGCTTCTTTCACTTAGCATGTTTTCAAGTTCATCCATGAGTCAATATTTCATTCCCTTTTATGGCTGAATAATATTCATTTGTACAGATATGCCACATTTTGTTTATTCATGAGTTGATGAACATTTAGGTTGTTTCTACTTTTTGGCTATTGTGAATAATATTGCTATGAACATTTGTGTACAAGTTTTTTGGGTGGAAACGTGTTTTCATTTCTTCTGGGTATACACCTAGGAGTGGAATTGTGGAATCATATAGCAAATCTATGTTTAACTTTTTGAGAAAGTGCCACACTGTTTTCCAGAGCAGCTGCACCATTTTGCATTTCCACCAGCAGTGCAAGAGGGTTTCAATTTCTCCACATCCTGGCCAACATTTATTATCGTGTGGTTTTGATTAATAGGTATCCTCGTGGGTATAGAATGGTATTTCATTATGTTTTTATTTGCATTTCTCTGATGGCTAATGATGTTGGGCATCTTTTCATGTACTCATTAGTCATTTGTATATCTTCTTTGGAGAAATGTCTATTCAGATCCTTTGCCCATTTTAAAATTGGGTTGTCTTTTTGTTATTGAATTGTAGGATTTCTTTATTCTAGTAAGTTCCTTGTTAGGTATGAGATTTGCAAAAATTTTCTTCTATTCTTTGGGTTGTCTTTTCACTTACTTGATGTCCTTTAATGTACAAAAGTTTTCAATTTTGATGAAGTCCAATTTATCTATTTTTTCTTTTGTCACGTCTCACATTTTGAGTTCTAAGTTGCTAAAATGCAGCTTAGAACTCTAGAACAAGGGTCCTCAACCAATGGTGAGTTGTATAATTATTTCATTGTATATTACAATGTAACAATAATACAGATAAAGTACACAATAAATGTAACATGCTTGGATCATCCCAAAACCATCCCCTGTCCATGGAAAAATTGTCTTCCATGAAAACGGTCTCTGGTGCCAAAAAGTTTGGGGAGGACCTCAGAGCTTGGTGGGAGTTTTCAAATCACCTTAGAGGGGGATTTTGAGCTTTCATTCCTCCATTCCAGCCAGCAAAGAAAGTCTCCCTTTCTGAGCCAGGAGCACAGAGCCCCAGGGCACCTTCACTGCGTTCACATCCCCTCCCTCTCCTGAGGTCTACCACAATAGAGCAGCTGAAATGACAGTCTGGAAATGTCCTTTGTTGTGAAAACTCAATGGCCTTTGTCTCTGGGATTTGAAATTTTCATGCAAGTGTTGGCAGCCAAGAGTTGTGAAGGAGGGGAAGAGATGGGGGAATAATCCTGGCCACTGATTTCCATAGTGAGTCATCTTGACTGTTTTGGTTTTCCCACCCATAAAACGGGGAGAATACTTCGATCTCCCCGTCTGGGGCGGGGAGGGGGGCGGCGAACTGTGAAGATGAATTAATCTGTATTTGTCAGGACACTTTGAGATTTTGGATTAAAGGCATTACTGAGACATAAGGTATTATTATATTAATAATAAATGATTTAATAGCAGGGTGAGGCCACTGAAGCAAGAATTGGTAGGAAGGAGAGAGGCTTTGAGCTGTGGCGGGGCTGCAGCCTGGAGCTCCCTGGCAGGACACAGATTTTTATTCTCGGAGGTGAGAATGTGGGATTTCTTACATACTCTTCAGGCTGTTTCATCTGAATTCAGCATTGCTTTATTAAGTGCTTCCTATATGACTTCTGCAACAGGGAGATTACAATCTTTTTAGGAAATAGGCAATGTAAATTAAAACAATCAGAAACAGTGTAAGACATTACAATCAAGTGTTGAAGTGTCAGAAAGAAAGTAGAATACGTGGCGGTTGAGTTCCCCGTTATGACTTCCAGGTCTACCACCCACTAGCTGTGTGACCTTGCCTCTGTTTCTTTTTCTGTAGCTGCAGTTGTTCTTGTAAAGTACTTAGAATAATTCCTAATATAGTAAGCATCAAATGTTGGACCTATCTGGGCTCTTGTCAGGCTTTGCTTTTGCTGGTTATGCAACCCTGGCCAGGTTGCTCTATCCCTCTGAGCCTCAGTATTCATCTGTAAAATGGGATAAGGATACCTCGTACCTCACAAGGTGGCTGTGAGGACACAATGTTTGCAAAGAATGTAGCACAGGCACTATGAGGCGCCCTGGCTGAGGAGTGAGGGGTGCGCTCATAAGTGGCTTAGGTAATCCAGGGAGCATCTCTGGAAGCTGCAATTTGAGGTGTGCAGGAAGGGACCGGTAGGATTCAGGCGATCAGAGAAGAAAGCAGAAACAAAAAAAGGTGGAAGCCTGAGAATGAAGGCCAGAAGGGTCTGGGGCTTCTCACTTTTCCCTGCGGCTCCAAGCCTGGAGGGCTGCGTACAGTGGAGCCGCAGCGGAAGTTTATCTCCCACTCCCCCCACCTTCTGCAATCTCGGCTCTCATCTACAAGGTCAGCGAGTCTGGGGCTCTGCAAGCGTAGAACAGACCCTCCCTCCCTGAGGAATGTGGGCTCGGCTCTCTGGGCCCGCCAGGCCCGAGCGCCTACTGCTTCCTCCGCAGTCAGGAGCGAGGACGCCCGACTGTCTTCACCCGCCCACTCCGCCGAGATCCAGTTACAAAGTCACCTGAAAGCCATTTCCTCCCGCGCCCGCCCCGCCCCTCCCTGCAAATCACCTGGAACTTGCATTTGTCCTGAGCAGCTTTTTTTTGGGGGGGGGGAGGGGGTTATTTTGTTTTTAACGAGACCGCTATTAACTGTTTATACCTGGATATATCCAGTGGTTCTAATATTAGTGTCCCATTTCTCCTCCCAAGGAACTGGTGATCGCGCCTAACCTGGGAGAGTTGTTCCTCTTCCGGAGTGCCACCTTGAGCTTCTCTCCTCCAGGCTAGTGTTGGGACAGCATTTTTTTTTCAGGATCTTTACTGATGAAGTATTACGGGTTTTTAGATTAATGCTCTTGCTCAAAATCCAACGTGTCTGTATTGAATGTCCCTGACTCCCGATTTCCAGGTGTGTACCTTTCCACGCGCACATGACCACATACAAAGAGCGTTCTCTGTCTTTGTTTTACAAAAATGGGGTCCTCTATCACCCAGGTCTGCATTTTCTTTTTCCCACCTAACAATGACTTGTGGAGCTCGCTCCAAGTTATCACCTTCTTTCCGGTCAGCTTCTTGGAGGCTCGGATTTACATCTGCGAAGGGTCACGGGGACCGAGTTACGGTGAGGAATTCAAGACGTGCCTTTCTGATTCAGAAAAGCCGAGGTGAACTGCTCTGGTAGGATCAGAACCTCCAAATCCGATCCCAAGTGGCTCCCTTGAGAAAAGCCCCCTTTGCTGGACTTGATATTCCCTGTCCGTACAATGGGGATGCTTTGGCTGTCCGGTGCCCTCTCAGAAGGCAGTGATAGCAGGTCTATGACACCACGGTGACCCCACCACGTGCGTCTCGGTATCTTATTTTTTTCTAACAGCTACTGTTCTTGCTACGTCTCGGTATCTTAGAGCATCCAGGCTGCCCGGGAGGGGCTGGCGGCTGGCAGGACCGACACTGCCCGGGCGCGCACTCGCCCCACCTGCGGGCGTTAATCATTAGCCGCACCGGAGCCCCGCAGCCCCGCCGCAGCCTTTACCCCGGCTCCGGCGAGCAGCCCCGCGAAGGTTCCCCGGGCCCCCGCGGCTCGGCCAATTGCTGGACTGCAGCCGCGGGCCGGAGTCTCCACCCACTGGAAAAATTCCTGGTCCGCCCCTCCCTCGTTCGCTCCCTCCCTCCCTCCCGCTGCAGCTCCGGCTCGACTCGGCCCCGACTTCCTGCCGGCGCTGGGAAGCCGCGGGCGGGCTGGGGTCCCCGGGGGCCGCGCTCGCAGCTGGCCACGTCCGGGACGGCCCGGGGGCTGGCAGTGGGCGGGAGCGGCCGGCAGCCTCGGCCCCTTCCGAGAGCGACTTTCAAACTCGCGCCCGCGTCGCGGCGGCACCTGGGCAGCCCCACGCGCTTGTCCGGAGCCCGCGGCGGCGACCGCTTGGTGAGTGTCCCTTGATTCTTCCCTCTTCCCTCTGCCTGTGTGCAGCCGGCGAAGTGCCAGTGCCCGGAGTCACGCTGGGGCGCCCGCCCTCTCGGGGCCCTCGTGCCAGCCCCCTGCTTGGTGAGGACCGGAGCGACCGAGGAGGGCCTGGGGCTGTGCTGGCTCCTCCCCGGGCGACCCCTCCCCGCATAGGGCGTGAGAGCTGGAGGGTAGTGCGAGGGGACATTTTCTGTCCTTTTTTCCCCCACCAGGGAAACAAAAGGGGCGAATGCGCCTAGTGCCTTGCAAGAGCCTCAGTTTGAAATCCAGGAAGCCCGCGAGGCTGCGCGCGGTCCTTGCCCCGAACTGTGGGCCCGGGCAGGGTGGACCCGTCTGCGTAAGGACCCGAGCCTCTGCTGCAGCGAGCCCAAGAGGCGCCCGCAGCCTGTTCCGCGTTGCCACACGGTGCTCGCTGTTGGGAATCTCAGCTACCTGTACAGGAGGGATTAGAGTGGGTGCCAGAAACAGGGAGCGGAAAGCACAGAGGCTACTGCTGGCTGCGTCGACCTCACGCACTCCTGAAATCGGTGTGGTTATTTGCACCCCACTCTCCAGCCCTTTGGTTTGGAAAGCCAGGTAAGGCGTGTAAGCCTAAATTTTCAAGACGTTGTTAGGGTAGCTACTTTTACTCCTTGTGGCTACTTTTGAAAACAAAAGGAAGAATGTAGTGGGAAACGGAACGGTTGGAGGCTGGAGAGGTGTGGCTTGCGGGGTGCGCTGTTAGGGGCCGCCCGAGAGTTTCATCCTCGAGGTCACTCGCTAACTGTTGGCAGATGTAGGGGCCTCTCTGGGGCCCCCATCGGGCAACGTAGACTGCATCCATCACCTTACAGGGAACCCTGGACTGGGGGTTCCCAGGGTCTCCCCAGCCCGTGCCTTTCCACGCAGCCCAATCACGTGGCCCTGGCTCAAGAAATAATAAGCGGGGAGAGTAATGACAGTCCCTAGAGGGGGAGGGGCTCCCCGCCGAACATATCAGCTGCTTCGCCTTCTGGAAAGTGCCTTTCCCGCCCCTCATTTGCTGGACTAGGGGTAAGGTCCTGAGTGACTGAATCCCAGCTGTCCTCCGGAGGAAACCTAGGGAGTAAGAATCAAAAGAAAGTGTACACTTTCTGTTATTCACCCTCCCCTGTGGTTCTGGACTTACCCCTCATCTGGGACGGCCTGTGCTTCCCTTTGGACTGCTGTAACAGTCCTGCTGCCTCCCCCCGACCCCCTCCTAGAAGGTTGGACCACCCCTTGGCTCCGTGGGTGCCTTGTGGGTGACTCGTTGCCCTAGGGATGGGGCACCGCGCTGGGGAAGAGGTAACCCTGAGCCCAAGTCCTAGCTGTTGGGGGAGTGATCTGTTGAAGAGCTGCTTCGGGGCCTTTGTAAGAGGTGGCATAGCAGGGAGAGTGGAATGAGCACTGGACTGGGAGTCCAGCACAGGTGTTTGCCTGAGTTTTAATCCTGGCTCTACTGCGTAGCATGGAAGCTTGACTGAGTAGCTTGGGCTGAAGGTCCCTCAGATTAGCCTGCCCCATTTACAAGTGAAGGAGCAGAGCCCAGAGAGGCAAGGTGATTCAGCCTGGGTCCCTCCCTGTTGGCTCAGATTTCCTCACTGTTCCAACGTGAACTGGCCAATTCACTTCTCTTTTCTGACTCAGTTTCCACATGAATAAAGGGGGGTTACTTGCTTGCTCTTCCGTGTTAAGGATCAAAGGAAGCCTTGGATGTGGAAAGTATTCCATAAACTCCTGTACAAAATAAAGGGCTCATGGTGGTTGGGCGGGGGATGGGGTGGGGGGGGTCCCTTGAAGGCTTTACAATGTACCGCATATGTCCCATGTGTGCCACAAGGATATGGTAGATACCAGGAGCCAGTGGGGGAAGTTTATACCCCTGGCCTGTAGTAACTCAGCCCCAGAGTAAACATTTGCCTTACCAAATCCACAGCTATCCCAGGGTCACTGTTTACACCGGAGGAGGCCAAAGGCCATGGTCTGAGGGAGGAAAGGGCTTGAGGGGGAAAGGGTCTGTGTTGCAGACCTAGGGCTCGCCTTCCCACCACTTCCACCCCCCTCTACTTCCACCCGCTCTCAGAACCTGTTGAAGGCTCTGGCCCCAAGCCTGGGGGGCTGTCACAAGTCCAGGCTGTGCCCTGGCCTGGGAGGGTTAAGTGTGAAGCCATCTAGCTGTTCTCTGTTGTGCTGGCGGTTGAGGGGACTCTGGGCATTGGGAGGGGCTATCTTCAGCTCCTCATCTGCGCCCCTCCCCCATCCCAGGCTGTTCCTCTGGCCTGGGCCACTGCTGTCCCGCCTCTCTGGCCAGCTGCACATCCACAGGCCTTTGTTCCAGGGCCACAAGCCCGCCCTACTCCACCCTCCCTCCCCAGCAGAAGCCCTGGGGCTAGGGCCCTGGCAGCTGGAAATCACTGCTGCCAGCAGGAAGGTTCTACTGGAGCCCTCTGGGGACCTGGCAGACCCTCATTTCCTCTTATCAGGCTTTTTCTCTGGCCCCCAACTCACCTCTGGCCAGATTCCCACACTGTTGTCTCATCTCTCCTTCCTTCCTCTGAATAGATGGATCATCCTCTTTTTCTTCCTACACTTATGCCTCTAGTTCTATTTTAAAGTACATTCATTCACTTAACAATTGTTTATTCAGCACCTACTATGTATGAATGCTGGATGCAGGGAACACAGCAGTGCCAAAATATACAACAATCATTGACCTCATGGAGCTGACTTCTAGTGGGGGGAAACTGGTAATGAACAAGATAGAAAATTGAAATAGTGTGTTAGTGATAAGCAAAAGAAAATATATGATAGGGAAGGTATTTTATGAATTGTCATGGAAGGGGTGAGATGACAGTTTGGATAGGGTGGCCAGGGAGGCTTCCTGGAGGAAGGAACTTTTGAGGTGATGCCTGAAGGAGTTATTTCCCTTCATCTCTGATTTCCCTTCCTTGAAACCCAGTTCAGCATCCCACTGTGGCATTTAGGAGCAGAGTCTGGAGTTGGGCATGCCTGGCTTCAAATCCTGGCTTGATAGCTTACTAGCCCTGTGGCCTTTGACATGGCGCTAAACTCCTTTGAGCCTGAGTTTCTCACCTGTAAAATGGTTAGTCATCCTTCCTACCACATGTGGTGTTGTGAGAACGAACAATGAGATAACGAATGTTTAGCAAGGCCTATGGAGGTGTTCTCCGACCAAATTCTGCAGGAGTGGCAGGAGATACTGAATGCCTGCTAAGGACTCCAGGTGAAAAGCCTTTCATTGTAAGTAGTGAACAGGAGGGGGAATTAGAGCCCATGAAAATAGTGAAAACTTTCTAGTTAGTGAGCCTTTCCTGCTCTATCCTAGATGGCAGATGGCTGAGGATGCGGGACTCCCAGGTGTGTGTGTGGTTGGCGGGATAGGGTGACCTGGGCAGTCCTGACCCTCCCTTGCTCTGGAATTCCCCCTGCTTCCAACCAGCCAGGATGAATCACCTTGTCCCTGGCCTCTCCACTCTGCCTCTCAGCTGGGAAGGCTGTCTGCCCCTCCCCCACCCTCCTGCAGGTAAGTTATGCTGCGGGGATGGGGAAAGTGAGGGAGAGGGGAGAGGGGCCGATGGTGTGTGAAGCTTCCCATTTTGGGAAAGCCCAGAAAGGTGACAGGATTCTGATGGAGGCTCTGAGGCTGTCCGGCAAGGACTTTCAATAAGGACTCACCACATGGACTAGAATTTAAAGTAACAGAATGACAGACACAATGAGAGCTTAAGGTCAGGTCTGCCCAATTCCAAGCTGCTTCCACCCAGCTGATCTGATGAGCCTCTTCCCCTCTCAGCTGGAACCGTGGGCCTCAAAGGGAGGCGTATAATCTAAAATACTGCTGTCAAAGTTTGTGGTGAGTGGTTTCCTGGGGGCCCTGCCCTAGCTCCGGAAGTGAGGGATGGGCGGTGGAGGGTGAGGCCCAGGGAAGTGGTCATTAGCCAGAACACCCCCCAACCCCCACCTTCTGCTGTACTCGCTGGGCAGCCAGGCAGGCCCCGTGATGAAGGAACTTTCTGGGCCTGCCAGTTGGTGCTTGGAGACCAGGTAAAGCTAGATACAATCTGGCCTGGGAGGCAGTTGCAAAGAGGACCTTGAACAGCCAGCCCCAGGCATGTTTTTGATGTTGGGTGATGTCAGGAGAAAGAAAACAGGTAGGGTCGACTAACCTGTGGACCTTCGGACCTTCCGGAGGCCCACCTGGAGATGCTGGTAGCCCCTCTGGACATTAGCTCTTGGGATAAAGGTTGGCCTTGCTAACTGGGTCCCTTTTATTATGGGTAGAAGCTCCCTCCCTGGGGGCAGGAACTGGGCATGACTCATCTTTGTTCCCACATGGCCTGCAGGACTGTCAAAGTGTGATCCACAGGGCGTGAAGGGCTTGTGCTGGGTCCCACCCTGACAGTAATCTGGGCTTGGTGGTCTCATCCCCTTCAGCTTTTCTTCCATGGAATTAGGGAGAGAAGGCAGTGGTAGGGTGAAATCCAGCCCTGGGTTTGCTGTTGCCATCTGGAAATGCAAGGCTAAAGGGAGAACCGGACTTTGTAAGGTTTTCTTGGCTGGCTTTTGGAGAGGGAGCCATGATTTAAGCTCAAGGAATGAGTTTTTAACAAGATGCTAGTGGACACAGTGGTGGCTGTGCATGAACCTTTTGTGAAACACAGTTTGAGCCTCCTAGGAGTTGCACTGATTATTGCCAGAGTCTGAGTTGAGAACAGAAGGGAGAGATGCAAGAGGAGTGAAGTGTTTTGACCTTGGTAACTGGATCCTAAGAGGAGATGGGGGTTCTGCAGGTACTGGAAGCTCTTAAAACTCATGTCCCTTACTCCGCAGTGAGACTGTGCGTGTGCTCTTGAGCAACAGACAGCAAGTATTTATTGAAAGGAAAAGGGAACCAGTATTCATGCAGCCTCTATTCATCCAGCTCATTGCTACATCTCCAG